TTTCCATTCAAACAAACCCTAAACACAAGTCTCAAGACATGCAACTGAACTTCAATTTTCGAGCAAGAAGGTATGTACAAGAAGTGTCCTTTTATGCTAAAATTAAGAAACAACTTCGCTTGTTTAACTTACATGTGGCACTATTCAACTGCTAGCCATTACTATGCTCCTCTGCTTTGAAGCGTGAAGGCCAGCACATACTAACTCTTACTAAATGTTATCAATGAATAAGCGCGAGTGTGAGGCCTTATGTAAGTCCACAATAACGAATCATTACAATAGAGAAGTGAGAACTATAAAGAGTCGAAGAGAGGAAAATGGTGATTCGATCCTTATGGAAATGATAATTGCGTGAGGGTTTATTATGAAAATTGGTTTTTCAACATGCTATCAAAAAAATACTAAATTGACATTTTACATAATTTAATCATATTCTTATAAATTAACATATTTATGGTACATCATGAAGATACAATACACTACATTATTTAAGTGATACAGTTATAGAAAATTACTACAAGTGTATTAAAACCGCTCCTCGTGAAATAAAAACCTAACATCTTGAAAGGGTAACATTGGACAAGATTTCATGATGATCACCGTCTTGTTCGCAATGCGCAAGTGTATATGGATACCGATGACTTCCTTGTTTTGATCATGTGAACAACATAGCTATCCAGGATCTGTATCTATCAATTTTTTTTTTCTTTCTGTTATATGCATTAATTTCTATTTTAGCTGACTAACAATTAAAAATAATAATTGTATCCGTACCCGTATCTAATCAGAGATGAATGTTTAATATCTATGCTCATACTAAATATATACAAATGAATATTTATGTGTATCCAAAATAACTTTGAAACCTTAAGGGACCGTTTCTCCTTTATTTGCCCTTTTTTTTTTTACCCTGATCACCTGATGAAGGGAAACATAACTAAAAGATATGCAATAAGCAAAAAGTTTAATAGCACTAACATGCAAAAGTCCTCCGAGTTAAAAACCACAGCAGTTTCTTTAAACAGCACACAGGAATCTAGACATTCTCCTCTCCCGCACATCTCATCAAGCCCCTAGTTTCTCTCACATCAAAGACTGGTATCTTCTCTCATCCCATTTTATCCCCCCAACATTCTATCACTCTCAACAAACGAATCATTCGTTTTGTACTTGCATTAGTTATAACTAAGAACCCACTTCTCTGTTTCCGTTGAAAATCTCATATTGTCCCCCTGTTTCGGCATTTTTAAATGTTGAAAATGGTACAGAAAAGATCTGAACTAGCATCAACAAAGAAGAACAAGAGGAAGCAAAAGATGCCCACTTCAATCCAAAGGCTTTATGAAACTTGCAAGGAGGTTTTTGGTGACCTCGAGGCAGGAACTGTGCCGGCCCCTGAGGACGTGAATCGTCTCAAAGCTGTTCTTGGTAACGAAATGATTGAGTTTTCATTTTTTTTTATAATGATTTTGGTTTGGATATGTCGATGGGTATTTGAATTGGAGTGTGTAAAATTCTTCTTCTTGTAGGGTAGTAGTTCTAGGAAAGTAGTAATTAAAATGTTAGAGATTATACTAGTTACTGCTTTATTAATTAGTTACTAATTAATGTGTGTCGTTCGTTGTATAGATTTTTCATTAGAAAATAATAATTATTCATCCTTGCCAGATTTACGGGTTAGTGCTATGATTGAAGAGTTTGTTGACTAGTTATATTTCACGCCATTGAATTTTTCCCAAGTTGTGAAGGAAAATAGTGTTGTATGCCCGTGAGTTACGGGTTAGTAAGTGTTTGGGATTTCGTAAGTGTTTGGCTTTTCTAAAGTGTTTGGTGTGCTTATACAAAGTAGGATATGTTGCAGCGGGGGGTTTCACATACACGAAAGATGTCTACACTAGAATGTAGAATAACAACACTGAATAAACATAGTGAACACAAAGAAAACAACATATAAGGATTTAACGTGGTTCAGTCAGTATGACCTACGTCCACGGGCGAGAACAACAGAGAACTTCACTAATCACAAAAGAGATTATTACAAAAGAGGAGATCACTATCCAGGGGCGGACCCATGTTAGTTCAAAGTGGTTCATATGAACCACCTCAAATTTCAGAAAACCCTATATATTATATATATCTCAGATACTAACAAGTAGAACTTACAACCTAGTGGATAAGCAGTAGCAGTTAAGGTTGTTTGTTTAAATGTAAGGTTCTGGGTTCGAATCCCAGATTTGGGTTTTATTGTTTATTTTTTGTTTTCATTGCTTATTTTCTTTAACTCAATTGGACATTTGGTTTTCGAATCCCGAATTTTGATTATTTTGTTTAATTCATTGCTTAGCTAAGGTTGTTTATTTTTGGATTTGGTTTTCATTCTTGGATAAAATTTTATTTTTCTCATAATCTTTTTTAAATTTACATGAATATTCATTGTATTAGTTAATTTTATGATTTTCTTTCATAATTTTTTCTCTCTATTAACTTTTTTCCTATTATTTTCTTGTCTTTTAAAATTTATTTAACTAAGAAAGTAATAGAAAACATTAAATACACATAACTTTGAAAATTCTTGCAACAAACATATCTATAGTTAAATACACATAACTTTGAAAATTCTTGCAACAAACATATCTATAGCTTTGCTAGTTCTCTCAGCTACAAACTTCGGCCTTGACCCTGTCTATATACTATTTCCAAAAAAAATTAATATGTATTTTGAACCACCGCTGCTAACTTTGTAGATCCGCCACTGTCACTATCTAACCAGAAAATCACACAAAGAAAGAGATTTCTCTTTCTATCTCTCTCTAATTCTTTTCTTTCTCTCCGTCTGTCTGTCTCTGAACTCTCTCCTACACCCCCTTTATAGTTTCCAAATAATAATAAAAATTTGAAAAAGTGGTTGTTGGAACAATAGTTGGGAGTAGGTGGCATAGTGATGTTAGGTAAATGGAAAAAATTTTAATGACACATGACAAATCTTCACATTGACTTTGAAAATAAAGATCTTCTCTTTACTCTTGTTGTCTCGCCAGAAGCTCCTTACGGGCTTAACCTTCACTTTGTTGAACTCCAAACAATTCGAGACAATGCTCGAACTTGCGCGAAGGTACGGGCTTCGTGATCATATCTGCTGGATTGTCTGCAATATAAATTTTCTCAATCTTGATGATGTTAACTTCTCTGATAAAATGATACATGATATCTATATGTTTGGTTTTTCATGATACATCTGATGTTTCGTCAAATGTATAACACTTTGGCTGTCACAAAATACCATAGTAACACATTGGTGTAAGCCGAGATCTTCAACCAAACCTCTCAACTAAATGGCTTCTTTCACTGTTTTTGTCACTGCCATATACTCTACCTCTGTGGTAGACAAAACAACTGTCAACTGTAGAGTCGCCTTCCAACTAATGACACTACTTGAAAGAGAGAATATATAACCTGTTAGGGATCGTCTCTTATCCAAATCGTCTGCATAATCTGAATCAGAATAGACAAGTATTATGCAATCTGAGTTTGTGTTCCTGCCAAAATACAAGCCAATATTAGCAGATCCTCTCAAATATCTAAGTATCTATTTTACAGCCTGCCAATAGACCTTTCCAAGCTTATCCATATTCCGACTCACAACACTGACTGCATGTGAAATATCTAGACGGGTGCAGACCATGGCATACATAATGCTTCTAACTATATTAGCATAAGGAACACAAGACATGTACTGCTCTTCCTCTTTAGTCAGAGGTGACAAATCCGCTAAAAGATGAAAATAAGCAGTAAACAGAGTCTTCACAGGCTTGGCATCAAGCATGCCAAATCTCTCCAACACCTTCTTGATGTATTTCTCCTGAGATAGGAATAAAATTTCTTCTTGCCTATTTTTTGTAGATCTCCATCCCCAAAATCTTCTTTGCGGCTCCCAAGTCCTTCATCTCAAACTCATGTTTGAGTTGAAATTTTAACTCGTTGATTTTTGATATATTTTTGGCTGCAATCAACATGTCATCAACATACAATAGCAAATATATAAAAGAATCATCATTGAGCTTTTTATGATAAACACAACTATCATATTTACTCCTAGATTAATCATGCTCAAACATGAAAGTATCAAATCTCAAATAGCATTGTCTCAGAGACTGTTTCAACCCATAAAGAGATTTCTTCAACCTGCACACATGATCTTTTTTTCCTTCAACAATGAACCTCTCTAGCTGATGCATAAAGATCTGCTCCTCAAGCTCACAATGTAGAAAATCCGTCTTCACATCAAGTTACTCAAGTTTCAAATTAAAATGAGCAACCATGGCAAGCAACACGCGGATTGATGTGTGTTTTACAACTGGAGAGAATACTTCATTAAAGTCCACACCTTCGGTCTGACTGTAGCCTTTAGCTACCAAGCGTGCCTTGTACCATACAGAATATGTATCCGGAACTCATTCTTTCTTCTTGAACACCCATTTACAGCCAACAATCTTCTGTCTCCTTGGGGGCTTCACTAACTCCCATGTCCGATTCTTGTGAAGAGACTCCATCTCTTCAGTCATCGCAACAATCCAATTTGTAGCCTTATTGTCACTAATAGCCTCCTTATAGGTAGAAGGCTCTGGAATTTTAATCGACTCTGCTATACTCAAAGCATAAATAAGCATGTCTGCATAACGTTGAGGAGGTCAGATCTGCCTTTTTGTTCTCCCTGTGGTAATATTATACTGTTGCTCTTGCGGTGTATTAATATCTAAAGTTAAACCTTCCACAGTATCAACTGGTTCAACATGAGCGCCCTCAAGCACTCTCTTTAAAGCTAAGCTCTCTAGCTCTACCTGCTTGCTGGACTCCTTTTCAATACCTATGATATCAATAACAAACTCCTTTCTCGGGTGAAGCATAGATTTCTCATCAAAAGTGACATCCCTACTAATAATAAATTTAGGTGACTTGAGATCAGAACACCACAATCTATATTCCTTCACCCCAGTAGTATATCCTAGAAAGATAGCTTTTTTGCTCTAAGTTCAAGCTTACCATCATTAACATAAAAATAAGCAGAGCAACCAAATACTTTTAAATGAGAGTAATTAGTAGGGGCACCAGACCATATCTCTTCTGCAGTCTTAAAATTAATTGTTGTAGAAGGAGTTCTGTTTATCAAATAGCAAGCTGTATTGATTGCCTCGGCCCAAAAGTCTTTTGACAACCCAACATTAGAGAGCATGCGCAAAACTCTCTCTAAAAGTATTTTGTTCATCCTTTCTGCAACTCTATTTTGCTGTAGTGTATGGCGAACTATACGATGACGCACAGTACCTTCATTCTAGCAGAACTGGTCGAACTCTAAGGAACAAATTTCCATCCCGTTGTTGGTTCGGAGGCGCTTCACTTTCTTTTCTATTTGCTTCTCAATCATAACTTTTCATTGCTTGAAGGTTGCAAACACATCACTCTTATGCTTCAAAGAATACACCCAAACTTTTCTGAAACAATCATCAATCAATGTTAGCAGAAAATGAGCTCCACCTTTCAATGGAACCTGAGAGGGGCCCCAAACATCTGAATGTATATAATCTAAAGTACCATTGGTTCTGTGGACACCGGTACTAAATGATACTTTATGGTGTTTGCCGAAACACAATGCTCACAAAAGTCTAGCTTACTAGTTTTCTGACCACAAAGCAGACATTGTTTGCTCAATACATCCAGTCCTCTCTCACTCATATCACTCATATGCTCTAACCGCATATGCCACAAACGTGTAGTGTCTGAATCTGAATCCTCTGAGGATGATACTGCTGTAGCACCTGTCACTGTACTACCTTCAAGGATATAGAGGGTATTTACCTTCTTTCCTTTCATCACAATAAGAGAGCCTTTACTAACTCTCAAAACTCCACCTTCAGCCGAAAATTTAAAACCAGTTGAGTCAAGGGTGCCTAAAGAAATGAGGTTTTTCTTTAACTCTGATATATGTCAGACATTGCTCAATGTTCTAACAATACCATCATGGGTTCTAATCTTAATTGATCTGATACCAACAGTCTTGTAAGGCATGTTATTTCCCAACAAGACATTCCCAATATTAATAGACTGATATGTGACAAACCAATCCATATGCGGACACATATAGTAGGAACAACCCGAAACCACTCATCTTGTGAATGAGTATTCATACTAAATGAAAGAACTTCATGTGAACTAGAATACTCTTTAGTTACAGTGGCAACTGAAGGTTTCACCTCCCCGGACTTCGACTGTGAATTATCCTTTGCTTTGAGCGCTGGACAATTAGGTTTTATATGCCCATACTTGTGACAGTAATAACCTTCAATATTTTTTCTTGGCCTGGACTTTGATCTAGACATATTTCTAGATTTTCCTCCACTACCAACACCCTTTTTAGGACGACCACGAGCGAACTAGCCTTCAGCTTGATTCTCTACTCCTACAACAGACACTTTCTACCTTAACTCTTTTGAATGTAAGGCTGATTTCACATCCTCCAAAGAAAATGTATCTCTACCGTATAACATGCTATTAACAAAATTCTCATAGGAAGGATGTAATGAACATAACAAAATAAGGACTTGATCGTCGATTTTAACATCAATATTCTTTAAATCCATAAGAATAGTGTTAAGTTTATCTAAGTGGTTTTTAATTTGCATACCTTCCTTCATGCGAAGGGTGAAGAGGCGTTGCTTCAAGTATAGCTTGTTCGTTAGAGGTTTTGTCATGTACAAACTCTCTAACTTGAGCCACAAGTTGGCGACGGTATCTTCATTTGTAACCTCTCGCAGGACCTCATTGGCAAAACAGAGTTGTATGGCACTATATATGCGTCTTCATCTCTAGCTCTTCTTTCTTATCATCGAGCATATATTCAGGCAACTTATCCTTTTCGGGCAAGACTTTGAACAGTCCTTGTTGTACTAAGAGAGCCCTTATTTTTACTCTTCACAAACTGAAGCTGTTTCTCCCATTGAATTTCTCCACTTTGTATTTTACAGAAGACATCTTGAAGTCCACTAGAACAATAACTGTAATATGAACATCAACTGTACTTTTGAACAGCAACCATATATATGAATAGTAACTGTACGTATGAATAGTAATCGTACTTTTGAATAATACAGTACTCGTGAATAGTATATAGTGCCTTTAAAGAGTAAATGATAATTTAACTTATTTTCTGATGTGGAGAATTCATTTTTAGTAGCAGCCACAGAACATACGATAAGCAAATACACGTACTCTAAGTAGGCTCTGATACTAGTTTGTTGCAGCAGGGGGGTTTCACATATACGAAAGATGGCTATACAATAGTGGAGAATAACAACACTGAATAAACACAGTGAACACAAAGAGAACAACACGCAAGGATTTAACGTGGTTCAGTCAGTATGGCCTACATCCACGGGCGAAAACAGTAGAGAATTTCACTAATCATAAAAGAGAAGATTATAAAAGAGGAGATCACTATCTAACCAGAAAATCACACAAAAAAAAGAGATTTCTCTTTCTATCTTTCTCTCTTCTCTCTCTCTCTCTCTAATTCTTTTCTTCCTCTCCGTCTGTTTGTCTCTAAACTCTCTCCCGCACCCCCCCTTTTATAGTTTTTAAATAATAATAAAAAATTGGAAAGTGGTTGTTGGAATAGTAATTGAGAGTAGGTGGCATAGTGATGTTAGGTAAATGGAGAAATTTTCAAAGACACATGACAGGATATATACGCGTACATTTGTGCGTGTATTATTGGCTCCATACTTAGTGGATCAGTAGCGCCTTGTTACATTTTACGGGTATGAAATATGTGGAACGTTATAGGGACCTGAAACAAATGGGACCGGGTATGTGACAACTTAAAAAAGTGCCTCTCCCCCATTAGTTTATTGAGATATGAGCTAATTTGGTAGTAGAGATTTGGGTAAGAAATGCATTTCTCATTTTTGGACGTGGCCCGAGAAGAAACACGCGTGCGAGTTTTCTAAAGGTTTGGTGTGCAATTTCTAGAGAGTAGGATGTGCGTGTGCATTATCGGTCCCATATCAATGGATAGATCGATAGCTTGACATTTCACTCTTTGTAGTTTGTATGCCATAACACGTGAAATATTACGGGGACTTGAAAATGGGACCAACCATGGGGCATAATAACTACTGTCTCAACCTATTCTTTGTGTTCTTTCTGATCTGGGCGGATATCAAAGATTAATATAGAGGAAATGTCACATGCCCCAGAAATAGGAACACATCCTCACATTTGATAGTACAAATTTTCGCAAAGAAAATGCATTTATCATTTGTGGACATTGCGAACCCTTGACCTCCCATGGAGTAATAGCCTCTTTTTATTGTTTTTTTTTTGATAAAATATAATAATTCTTAGAAGTATTATTACTTGAGTCATGTCTGAGTTGTCAACCATAGGTTTCCAACTTCCAAGTGTCATTACCAAGCAACTAATTATATATTTAACACTATGCTTGCTACACCCTATGCTTGATGTGCTACCATTAAATTCTATATCTACTTAACTTTTTTATTCTTTGAACTGTCATAATATCTTATTTCTTGTATGTCCTGAAACCAGACAATTATTTTTAATATTTTTTTAATGAAAATACCTTACTGGCATACATAAGTTTAAACTCTAGAGTACTAATCCTTTACTTTGGAACACAAACGGAGCTTCCTGATTAATCTGCTTACTGATTTTGATAAAAAATGGATCAAATATGCACACATGGAGTTATAAAGGTAAGTAATAAATCGTGCTTGTTTTTTCAGGGGCGATAACCTTATCTTTTTTTCATAGCAGAATATTTTTGTTACACTCTTGTTCTACTTTTCCAAAAGGATGGTTCTTTTTATGCAGATAACATGAATGCATCGGATGTTGGCCTAAATCCTACCCTTCCATATTTTTGGAAAATCGAGCTGGAAGGAAATCCTCCAATAACTTATTTGCGCATCTATGAGTGTGAAAAGTTCTCAGTATGATATTCTATCGAGACTTCCACTTCTTTTTATTAATTTTCAATTGACTTCAAATGTTTAAGAGTTTTTTCGAGATAAGTAACTTACATCCTTAATATTTTGAAATTAGTTCCTCGTGTCACTGAAATTGCTATTAGGCCCCTCAATGCTCATAAGTTGTTTGAAATTAATCCCTCCAACTGCTACTTCTATTCTTAATTAGAGGGAATATTTTGAAATAACTTATGAGAATCAGGGATCTAATAGCAATCTTGATTGATTTGAGTAGGGTTGTCCAAACGGGCCGGTCCGGCCTGGAAAACTGGGTCCAGGCCGGGCAAAACAGGGGCCTGGACTCAGGCCTGGGCCTGAGCGGGCCGAGCACCAGGTCGGCCTGATTTTTTTTAGTTTTTTTATTTCTTTAAATTTTCAAGAATACATAGCCAAAAATTAAACAAACTTTTGATAAAAACAATCATATTATTAATCACTTGTAATTACATAATTTACAAATACAAAAAATTATAAATTAAAATGAAACAAACTTTTGATAAAAACAATCATATTATTAATCACTTGTAATTACATAATTTACAAATACAAAAAATTATAAATTAAAATGATAAAAGGGTGTGTTTGGTAATCAAGATGTTTGTTTTTGTTGTGTTTTTTTAGAAAAACACCATGTCATGGTGTTTTTTTCAAACATGTTTTGAAAATACAAATTATAGTTATTATTTATAATAAACGGGCGGCGGGCGGTGCCGGCGCTAACCGACGGCTATGGGGGACGACATCCTCGCGCCGCGACCGAGACGGGCGGGCGGCGGGTGGCCGGCGATAGCGGACGGGCGTGAGTGGCAGGGCCACGCCCGCGGCGGCCGTGATGACAAGTGGTAGGCGGGCTGGGGCGCAATAGCGATGCGACCGGCGACGTACGGAGGAGCGGGCGAGCGGCGATGATTGGCGGCGCGGGCAGCCGGCTGACGGAGACGACGGCCGCGACGGGCGGGAGCTGCGACGGGTGACGCGCAGACGACGGGCGGCGGTTTAGATGAAAAAACGGAATTTCAAAACACATTTTTGGTGTTTTGAGTGTTTACTTTTTTGGATTTTGTAAAGAGTCAAGTTAAAAACGCCCCGGTTACCAAACGCATTTTATTAACGGCAAAAACAACACAGTTGCCAAACACTTCCTTTTTTATTAATAATTAGTTAACAGTCTACAATTATAAATTTATTTTGGAATTTATCGCATCATAATAGATGAATACATCCCAACTAGATTGACACCTACTCATCTATATCACTATCAATTGTAACTGTTTGCAAAATAATTTATCATAAATTTTTAGTTAAGAAATAAAAATTACAAATTGATGAATAATGTCTAATCTTTATATCTATCTGCTAGTCTTAACTCTTTAAATTTATCTTCAATATCAGTCATCTGATCGATGCATTGCGTTCTCTTCTTGTACCTCCACCAATCTTCTAGGCACATTACCGCATGTACGATATACGGATCTAACGATGTCCTATAACCGTCGATCAAACGCACTGTTGTGCTAAAGTCGGATTCCGAAACTATCGTGGAAACCTGCATTGTTTGTAAGTCACGAGCCATGATGGAAAATGTAGGATATGAAATTGTTCCATATACTTTTCACCATTATAAAATATCTAAACTATTATTTTGACATTTAACTAAATATGCAGTTAAATATTGATCAATTTCAGAAACCTCCACTGATGATCCAAGTCCAAATCTATCAGTTAGCTCAACTACCATTGATTCCCTATCAAAACTCACACTTTTGCCTCGACTTGAACTTGTAGAAGCAAAAACTATAAACTGATGTGTACTTACACCATATTTAGCTGCATATTCATCATATAATCTTTAAAAATAATTTCTAATATTATTATGATGAGTAAGAGCAGAAACAGTTTGACCATCATCAGTGTCTATTACCATGTTATCAAGTAATGAATGTAACAAACTTCGAATGCAAATATCCTTCAAACATGGATCAATAAGAACCCTCAAACCAAAAATAATAGGAATAGGTCTAAAATACTTATTAAATTTACTTTCCATTTGAAAAATCATATTTCCAAAATAATTATAACATACGATATTTATTAAATATTTTTTAATATTTAAAATTTGTAAAGCAGCTATACTAATGGTTGGATAATAACAACCAGATAATAATATAGTATCATCATAAAAAACTTGTAACATCTCTTTTGCACTATATATAACTGTCCATTCATTCTCAGTTTTTTCATACATACTACCAGAGCTAGAACTAGAAGTATAGAAAACAATAAAATAATTTATAATTTCTTTATATTATATTGCTACTTTAAAATTGCATAGGTATAATTCCATCTATGGTCAATATCTTTTTGGAATTAGTCTGGATTTTAAATTTTTTTCTTTTACAGAATTATTTCCATCTTTTAATTCTTTGTTAGAAGCATTATGAGCATAAGATGCTATCCTAACATTTTCTATCATGGATTTAATTTCACTAAATTCACTTTGAACAATTAAATTTAAAATATGGCACACACATCTAATATGAAAAATATCACCATGATATGGCAATAGCAGGGATGTTTTGATATAATCAACAGCTACATTATTGTGACTTGCATTATCTAGTTAAAGAGAAAATATTCTTTCTAAAATTTCTAATTTTATAAGTTCTTTAATTATTAAATTTGCTATATTAATACCAGCATGTAACTCTTCAAATGCAATAAAAAAATAACTCTTTTAAACATTACCAATTATCATTAATCATGTGTGTTGTGATACATAAATAACCAGTTTGTACTCTAGATATCCAAATATCAGAAGTTAAAGAAAATTTACAATTTAAACTTTGAAAATAAGAAATTATTTTTGCTTGTTCCTCCTGATAATATTTTAAAATATCACGTTAAAAAGTTTGACGAGATTTTTTTTTAAATCCGGGATAAAAACCATTTGTAAACATATATTCAAATTCATCATCTTTTACTAATTTAAAAGGAAGATTTTTAAGAATAATAAACCTGATAACATATTTCCTGGCTTCGATTGCGTCATAATTCCAACTACCGAGACTACCAGAAGATGATGATTGTGAGAGTAAAGATTGTCAGATATCATCTTGATGCGTCTTACATTTGTTGTGTTTATCTAAATGGTGTTTAAGGTGGTTAGTGCCGCTCTTATGATGAGCTTGGAAAATATAGCCGCACAACACACACTTAGCCTTTTGGGTGAGAAGCCTACCATGTTCATCCCTAGTGATTTCTATCTTCTCGAAAAAGTTGCACACATCGGAACTTGGCTTTTTAGAAGCTCTTGGTGCAGAATCGTCACCACCGGAGTTGTGATCAAACATCGATAGGAGTAGAAGGAGTAGCTGTAGCTCTTGTAGTTGGAGTATTAGCACTCATTTCAAGATCGGGAATTGAGTTTTGCCATTCATAATCAGAGGAGAAAGTCATTTGATTAGAGAATTAGAGAGCAAAAATGATTATTAGAGAGTATTAAAGAAAAGTAGATGAGTTTTGGATGAGAAAAACAAATGAAAACCCCCTCTATTTATAGAGGCAACCTCCTAGGTAAATGACCAAAACACCCTCAAATTTTGGCTGTTTTTGACCGTTTTTGGGGGTATTTCGGTAAAAAAAATAAAAAAGAGCCGTTTTTGACCGTTAGGACCGGCCCAGATCGGCCCGGTCCGACAACACAAACAATCACTTTAGTGACTGTTTTGGCCGGCCCGGCCTGACTTCTGACCTCGCCATCTCCTCTGGCCGGGACCGGTACAGGTGCGGGCATCAACGAAGCGGCCCGGGCCCCAAAACACGGTTAGGCCTGGCCCGGTCAGGTGGGCGTCGTGCACGGGCCCTGGGCCCAATTGGACAACCCTAGATTTGAGGGACAGATATCAAATAGCGGTTTTCAATATTAGTCCCTTAGATCTTTGATATTTTGACTAAATCCCTCAAATCATTGAAATTGATGTTTACATCCCCAAATTCTTAGGTTTGGAAATTAGTTTCTCAGATCATCGAAATTGCTATTAGCTTTCTAAATTAGTCTCTCAGATCATCGAAATTGTTATTTTCAAAGTAAACCCCACACTTTCTACCGTCTACTCTTGGATGGAGGGATTAATTTGAAACAACTTATGAGAATTGGGGAGCTAATAATAATTTTGGTGATTTGAGGGACTAATTCAAAATATGAAAGATTAACAGACTAATATAAAAAACTCCCAATGTTTAATGCTTCTAATTTAATCCTGCAACCATTCTTGCAGATTTGCATATTTTGTTTGCCTCCAAAAGGAGTCATACCGCTTCATAATCATCCTGGTATGACTGTGTTCAGCAAGCTTCTATTTGGTAACATGCACGTAAAGTCTTGCGACTGGGCTGATTCTCATCCGAGTTCTCAAGAATCTGTCAACACCTCTCATCGTAAGCCTCCATCTATAATTGTTCAAATATTCATCTTGTATGAATCATACTAGCTATAATTACAGTCTAAATATTACATTGGGTGAATATTCACAAAACCACCTGAATATTGAGCACAATAAAAAAAAGGGAAACACCTTTGAACTTGTTTCACCAAAATAATTAGGAAAAATTTTCCCTTATGTACCTTTCAATTTTAGGTTTTTTTTCTAATATTAGTCCCTTAAATCTTTAATATTCTGAATTTTTTAGGGAAAAAACAGAGCGAGAAGCTCTGTTCATGTATATATTAAACAAAAACAGAAAGAGAAATTTACAAACTTTACAAAAACAGAACCAAGTTAAAGTGATCTCTAAGAAGCCAAGAACAATAAGCTAAGTGGTGCATGAAGAAAATGAAAACTGCAGTCTACACCAGCTAACAAGAGGACTCTGCCTAAACCCCAGGAGCAAAGTTATCGCCTAAAACATCTTCACCCGTTGATTTAGCAATTTCATGCATACCAAGATCAATCGCTGCACGGTGCATTTTCTCAGATCTCCTGCTTCCAGAGGCTCCTGTCCATAGAAGGGAAAAGCGAGTCACATTAGAAGCAATATACTTTGCTAAGACCGAAGAGTTATTAAATACATGGTTGTTTCGATTGAGCCATATACACCAAAAAAACATGGAAGAATAACCTTCTAGATAGCTATGAGGCTGTTGTTGGAAAAGGAAATTATCCATATGGGTAATCAAATTTATCACCGATGGACCAAACTTCAGAGGCGAGGGGGGGAGGAGATGAAGAAGTGATCTTGGGTCTCCAGATCAAGATTATATAGAGGGCAGAGGGGGCTACCTGACCATCCCTTATGGAGCAAATTTTCTTTCATTTGAAGTTTGTTCTTGCTAAGGATCCAGAGAAAGATCTTGACCTTTAATGGAGTAGGAGACTTCCAGATGAAGTTGTAAAATTAGGATATTGTGCCTCCATTATTAAGGATAGAATAAAGAGACTTAACTGAGTAGATGTCAGCTGGATGATGAGGCCACCGAACCTGGTCGTGGCAATGTCTGTAAGGCTGGACATTTTCAATGAGGGCAAGAAGTTGAGCGATGTTGGATTTGTCCTCAGAAGTGATGCCTCTTCTAATAATTAGATGTCAATTCCAATGGAGATGATACTATGTGCCCTGAGAGATGGCAGAGCAGGCAGGAGAGAAAGCTAGAGAATGAGCCTTAGGGAAAAGGCTACTCAGGGAGTTGTCCCCAGCCCACTTATCAGATCAGAGCTTGCAAGTGGATTCATCCCCCAAAGACTACCTAGACATACTGAAGAAAGGGGAGTGGATAGCATGAAGATCATGAATGAACTTTGATGCATGACTCTTGGGGGGATTAGATACTAGATTAGAGATAGATGAAGAGTACAGAGAGAAAATAACTCTACTGATCATAGAGTCCTTATCGAATATCTTCCAGATCCACTTAGAGAGGAGATCCACTTAGAGAGGAGGGCCTGGTTAAATGAATGTAAATCAAGGATATCAAGGCCCCCTGAACTTTTGCTTTTGCAGACAATACCCCAGAGAACATTTCTTCTGATCTTGTCTATGGCCTTAATGAGACAAATAGGAAGCTTGAAAAAGGACATATAGTAAAGAGGAATGGATGAGAGGACATAGTTGATGAGGGTGAGTCTGCCACTTATGGAGAGAGATTTGTTTTTCCATAAAGCAAGCCTTTTATAGAAAGAATCAAGCAGTGATTGACATTCACGTCTAGTGAGAGAGCCTCTTTTGAGGGGAAGCCCTAGGTAAGAGAAAGGAAGGGATCTAACAGAGAAATTGAGGATATTTGCTAACTGCACACCTTTGTGGGGAATTTTCCCAAGGTAGAAGAGATTAGATTTAGAGTAGTTTACAGAGAGGCCAAAAAAATATCTGCAAAGATAAGGAGAATGGCTTTAAGAACTGACACATCTGAGGAAGCGGCTTTGCAAAAAAAAAAAAAAAAAGAGGGTGTCATCAGCAAATTGGAGGGTTCTAAGAGAATTTAGTTCACCCTTAAGATTAAGCTCAGAGAGATCCCCTGAGGAAGCACTGAATGAGATAATTTTACTAAGGACATCAACGATAAGCAAGAATAGCAAAGGAGAGAGGTGATCACCTTGATTGAGACCCCTGTGGCATGCGAAGGAATTTGTTGGAGATCCATTGACAAGGACTGAGGTCTTGGATGAGGACAGAACATGATGGATCTAGGAACACCATTTAACACTGAAGCCTCTATCAGCAAGGAGAGAGAGAAGAAAGTCTCAGTTGACACAATCAAAAGCTTTGAAGAAGTCCACTTTAAGAGCACACAATTCTTTTTTACCCGATGAGCTGTGGTTAATCATTTCATGGGCAAGGAGGAAGGAATCAAGGGCAGACTTGCCACTCTGGAATGTAGACTGGGAAGGGTCAATGAGAGAGGAGAGGAAAGGTTTGAGCCTATTTGCAAGGACTTTGGTGAAAATTTTGACCCATTTATTGATTAGAGAGATGTGTCTAAAGTCCTTGGAAGTGACTGCGCCATCCTTCTTTGGAATGAGACAAATGAATGAGAAGTTTATGTTATGAAGGAAGTGACTGTTTGAGTGAAGGGACTGAATGAAAGAGATAACTTCCTGTTGGATAGTGTCGTAAAAAGAATGGAAGAAGAGGAGGGGTAGTCCATTAGGACCCGAGGATTTATCTGGATGGAGGTCAAATACAACCTTTTTAATTTCCTCCGGAGTGAATAGGGAATCAAGAGAGGAGAGGTCTGGTTGGGAGCAGGATATAACATTTGCCAATCAACAAGCAATTTGGAGTTTCTAGGAGATGAGAAAAGGTTTGAGAAATAGTCTTGAAAGGCCTGTTTGATTTATGAATTAGAAGAAATGAGAGAATTATTTATTATGTGGTGGGGAATGAAGTTTTTCCTTCTTTGAAAGGATGCTTGTTTATGAAAGAAGGTAGTGTTGTTATCGTCTTCTTTGAGCCATTGAATCCTAGCTCTCTGACGCCATTTGGATTCATCTGCCCTAGCCAACAAGAACAAATTCTCCTTAAGGAGGGGTCTGTAATGAAGTTCAGAATCAAAGAGCACTCTGCTCCTCAAGAAGGTTTAGGAAGTTGATGGAGGAGATGGCATGGGCTTTCAACTTGTTAAGGGAGCCAAGGACAGATCTCTTCCACCATTTAATTCTTCTGCGAATCAGTTTGAGTTTCAGTTGGAAGGAATCTGGCAGGTGTAGGCGTCAAAAATTACCTATAGGCCTCCACGAACAGCTCGAAGCTAAAAGAAGACGATGAACATCACTATCCAAGTCACGGAAGCTTGATTGACATCGACGAACGCTTGAAGTGAATCGACGAACTACGTGAAGCAACGAAGTTTTTAGAATAATGAAGACACGAACTGATCGGGAGTCCCGCGTCGCTTACAAAAGACGAAACGACGCTCCTATCCCAGCTTAATCCACAATGACCTAATCAACAGAGCTTATAGAACTCCTCGTCGGCTTTCCAACGCACTTTGAATCACTCAAATCCGAGTTCGGACGAAGAAATTACGGCGGAAACGGACAAGTGTACGAAAAAGGGTCTCAGTCTGAGTTGAGAGTTGAGACACCCCGAGGTGTCTCTGTCTCGGCCCAAGCCGAGACACCCGAGGGTGTCTCCAGACCTAAAAATCGGCCGTTGTGCAGTTTCAACCACCCGAACTCCCCTGAGCCTATAAATACAACCTCTGGCCCTCATTTTTTTGGAGATCTGGAATTCTGGAGCGTTGGCGAAGCCCTGCCGGATTGAAGACTGAAGGTGCACGAATTTCAGAGAGGAGGAGGAGAGATCGGATCGAGTTCGTCGGCATAAAGAAGAGGAGCTCGTCAGATCTGCAGTTCCCTGGGTCCGTTCCTTAAGATTATCCCGTTGCGATAATCTTAAGAAGAGCAATTATCTCGCCATTGCCGAGATAAGTGCTACGGTTTCTTGATTCCTTCACGAATCAACGAAGCTCTGCCCGATTTTTCAGCAATCAGATCCGATCGACGGTGGTCCACGGATATCAACATCCCCGTCACAGGCCAAGATCCACGCAAGAAGCGGGCGATAAACACCCGTTGTGTTTGTTTAAAGAGAGTTGTATTTTTTTTATTTTTTTTCATTGTGTAAGAAAGTCTTATAAAAAGACTAATTTTACTTTGAATCTGTAATCGATAAACGTGTAATAGATTCAGCAATAAAGAAATTAATTTTTACCGCAAACAAGCTGGCGACCACAGTGGGAGCCAATAGCCTCGCTGCCGAGGCTGTCGTGTCGTAGCCAACGATCAAGATCCCTATCGACCAGCAGAAATTTAAAGAGTACATCTCCTCCTCCTCCTCCAGATCTGCTCCTCCTCATAAGCGCAAGAAGATCTCCTCCTCCCATAAGATCCATCGGTCTCCAGATCTGAAGACCCGAGAAGTCGATCTCCCCGTAGTCGATGCTACAGTTGCACCTTGCAACGATCCGCCGGCATCTGATGAGACCAGATCTGCAGATCTGAACTCCTTCGCGATAAAGGAGCCGACTGCTGAAGGTGCGCCAACTCTATCAAAGAGAGCACGTCAAAGGAAACGCTAACGCCTCGCGTGCCAATTCGCCAAGGCTTTGGATCAGGTGGATGGACTCCGTTACCAAGCAGATCTGGAGTTCAGAAAGCGCCAAGTGGCTAATCTATCGCCACGACCAGCATCGGGATCCTCCTCCCGACCTCCGATTAACGAATGAGTTCGTGTCAAACGAACCCACTCTACTCTCGAGGAGAGAATCCAGAAGCGCCGCGCCTTGCTTGCGCATGCCCGGATCCTTGTGCGAAAAGCACAGGAAATGCAAAAGGACGAGGCAGTTAAGAGATCACCGAGATCCAAACAAGTTTGGATGCCAAAAACCAATTCAGCGCCTAAGACAAAAGCAGGCGACGTTCTCTCCGGCCTTCGTCAAA